AGTTGTTTTTCAGTCTGAAGTACATCTAATCTTTATTGATTTATTTGATTCTTGTGTGCCAAGTGCAGAAAGTTGTGCTTTAGTGGGAAGAGGATTTTTTTTCCTTTTAATATTAATGTGTAATTTTGGCCAACAAAAAAAACGTTCAGGAGAGTATAGCAATTCTCAAAATGCATTAGACTTAAAATCCAATAAGTATACTTAGTGCTTTTGTGTGAATCCTCCTCAGTTTGTTACTTCTACAGGGAGCACTGCTATTGGAAATCAATCTCAAGCATTTTAATGATCGATTAATTCTGAAAGGTCCTTAATGTCTTCTCATGAGGAATTTTTTACTTGTCTAGAGTTTTTCCATTGCTAGGTCTGACACCTATGATGAATTTGGTGTGAGTCCCTTAAATTACTCGTGAGATTTGGGCACGTTAGCTCTATGTGCCAGTTCTCACTCTTTGTTATGGAATTGCTTGAACTGTTTGCAGGGAGTATGGGCTGGTAAATCCACGTTATGCTGAAATCAGTGACCAAACCTGCAGAGGCTTCAGGAGCTCCAGAAAATGTTCACCCACAGGTTAGGTGACCAGAGGAAAAACACGTGCTCAAGAAGCAGCAGTTGCCAATGTAGCAGCTCCAGCTCTGTCCTGCTGTCCAGAGCAGGGTAGCACTGCAGTCCAGGGCCCGGGGAGGCTGCAGAGGAGCTGGCTGGGCACTGCCTGCCCTCAGCACAGTGACAGCTGCCTCTGTGAACCCAGGGCTGTCAGGGGAGGCTGTGGTCTGCCGTGTCTCAGAGACTCTCAATTACTTGTGACACAAGTCCGAAAGCACAGGGCAGAGTACAAGAGATAAGATCAGTACCAGAATTAATCTCTTGTCTCTATTTTATGAGATATTGAATCTCAGAAGAGCATTTGATGAAAAAGCTGGCTGAACTGCGGAGCTGAGGGAGGACAGATGTGTTGGCATCACTGCTTGGCAGTACTTCCTCTGCCAGTTCTCTGTGCACTGGGAAAATGTGTCAAACAGGGCTGTTTCAGAGTGAGCAATTTGCAGTTAGTTTTACATTCCCCGCTGTAGTCCTTTCTACATTGTGAACTAGTCTCTTATCAACACTTAGCCTTCAGTCTCAATTCAATGTGCTGCATGATTCACAGTACAGGTTTCATGACATTGTCTTACCAGTCAAGTTTTCATGCTTCTGCTACATTTTAGTCTAAGTTCTATTACAGTTGTTTGTTGTTGATGAACCTTATAATGACAAGAATCAGGGAGCACTACTTCAGTCCTGCCCAGAACAGCTATAATTTGCAAAGTATCTTTTTTAGAACAGGATACTCTTGTGAATGTTGTGTATCTTTAACTAGATCTAGTTGGGATTTAGCACACAAATAAGCTTCATAGCTAGCTGAAAATGCAAATCTTTCACTTGACTGAAGCTGTAGTGCAGCAGTTGCTCCAACATATCAAGATGTTATTAAAGAGACACATGGACTCGGAGAGGAATTTCAGAAGGATTACACTGACTAAGTACTCAGCAGTTGCTAAAATAAAAGTTGGCATTCAGATCATATTAACTAGAAACCAATATTCCCGAAAATGTTATGTAAGTAATTATTATATATTAGGTTGCCATATGTCTGTGTGTATGTGCTGTGTCCAAGACAGCAAACGTCAAATGCACAGTCGTGGTCCCCTCCCGTTGAGTGAATGGTAAAATTGCTCTCGTGATATTTCAGAGGATGAGCATGTTCCTGTGTAAGAGACACAGTCAGCAAATGCAGTAATGAAGACATACATGTCAGTGGGATTACCATAATACAGGGTATTAATATGGCACCAGGCAATGATGCTGCACCCAGATGTCTAACAGTGTCTCCATTCCAGATCCTTTTTGGAAATGTTTAGAGCCCATTTACTGCACACTAAGATTAAACTCCTGATTGAATGAATTACAGTCAGGCCTCAAGATAAAATTACACTCCATGGATAATCATAGCTTGTGCTAACCTTTATTGGGTGCAGGGGTAACATAGTGACAAAGGATGAGGAAGCGCCTGAGGCACTTAAAGACTAAGGCAGAGAAGGAATTAATAGTAAGAGCAGTTGTTCTCTGGGTACCAAACCCCCTAAACTGGAGGAGAGGGACAGGAATCAGAATGAAGCACCTGTAATCCAAGGGGAGATTGTCAGTGATTTCACTGCCACTGGATTTCAACACTCACAAGTGTCTGGGGCTGGATCCACCGAAGGGAACCAAGAGACCTGGTGGAAGTGCTCACTGAGTCACTTTCCATCATTGATCAGCACTTTCAACAGAAGAGGTTTAGACTGGAGATTCAGAAAAAAGATCTTCATGGCAAGGATTGTCAAGCACTAGAACAGGCTGCCCAGGGCAGTGGTGGAGCCCCCATCCTTGGAGGGATTTAAAAGATGTGTTGATGTGGCACTTGGTGACAGGGTTTGTGGTGCACTTGTCAGTACTGGCTTAACAGTTGGATTTGATGGTCTTAGAGGTCTTTTCCAACCTAAATTCAATGATCTGATTTACCAATCAGTATTATTCTAGCTATAGAAGAGATTTTTAAAAGGTAGTCAGGAAAAGCTACTAAAAATATAAACTTGGAAAATCTTGCTTAGGCAATATGCTCATGAACTTCTGCTCTAGACTTAAGACATTTTCATCAAAATTTTCTTCCTTTATTGTTAAGGATACTTCTAATATCTTTGCCCCCTGTCATTCTCATGCTCTGATCATTGGGGAGTTTTACCATTATGTAGAAACATGTCATTAAAGGTTTAAAAAGCAAGCAAAAAAAAAAAAATCCCAAAACACACTTTTTTGTTTGTTTAAAAAGAAACATTTACTTCCTATATATAGTCAGTAAATACAAATGCCTGAGTGCCCTTTTTATGTAAATAGTTTGAATTCTGTAGGTATTTCCATGAAAGTTAAGTCTAAATTTTACTGGGAAAGAGATTAATCAGAAGTTTAGAACTTTTGGTTTTATTATTTTTATACTGTTTTCCTTTTATATTTGGTTTCCTTTCTTCTTTATGAGAATATAATTTATAATACTCATTGTCAGAAAAATTCTGAAATTTACTGCAGCCTGCATGTTGTGGGGAAGATTCTATGACTTTGTGTGTCATGCTCAACTTAAAAAAGAAGAAAAAATCCCCATAATATATTTTTATTCTGCTCATATGCTGATTACTGTTTCCATGAATCCAGCTGAACTAAAGTTCTATGCAAATATCTTAATGAAGGGACTGGTATTTACTGTATTCTACTCCATTTTTATGACAGGATAATAAATAGGAACTCACTGGAGTAAGCTCAGGATTGTATTTCGTTAGGCAGTTGGTAACAAAGCAATAGTAGTATTTTCTTCAAAATATCAGTGGTTATCTTAAACATTGAAGATACCTGATTTTTTTTACTTTTTGGGGTCCTATAATTACAGGTTTATAGGTTTATTTGAATGTACAGTATATCTACTGCATTACAAATGGGTTACAAGATATTAAATTTCAAAGATGGCAATAGGGAATATTTAAGATTAGCCCATTCTATAATTCTACCAATTGTTCAGACCTGTGTTCCCTCTCCTTTGCTTTCCCTTCTCTCGTGCATCCTTGTAACTGTCCTCCCTAAGAACAGTCTTTTCATTTCCCCCACTTGTGCCCAGAGCCCATCCTTTTCCTCTTGAGTGTTTGATTTGCTTGACCCAAGCACTCTGATCCACTTTTCCTGGTTGTCAGAAGTAAGAGATCTTCTCTACTAATATTACTGCTATGATATTCCACTCAGAGGTTCCTGAAAAGATCTGGTAGTTTGCATTGGCTGTCCTTCATCTGCTGTGCTCAGATTTGGCAGAGTTTTCTCACAGAATTAGGAGCTTCTGAGAATTTGGGTTTGGCCTGAATTAGCATGGGTAATGTACAGAAAATCTGAGAGATCTCTAATTTGATGCAGACTTCTGGACATTAACTTGTGCTTAGCATCACAAAAACGTGCCCAGGGCCAACTCTTGCTGTGTCTTTTATGGCTGCAAGGGCTGTGACACAACCAAATCTTCTCTTTGGTTTTCTTTGGAGAGAGCAGAGAAGTGGAAGTTTGTGCAAGAGAGAGGCCACAGGAGCCTGACTTTCCCCTTGGGAGCAGGGTTAGGACATCTTTGGGGGATCCTAATGTACAGTCCCCTTTCTGCAATCACAACCACTTCTCCTGCTGAGGAGGCAGGTTATGAACTGTGGGTCTGTACTCCCAGAGCAGTTATAGGAGATGGCAGGAGCAGACAGAGGTAGCAAGGTCAGAATTTGTCAGTAATGTCAATGACATTTTCCCTTGTTCCCACCTAGAACTTGCTTTTGCTTAGTACAACTGAGTAAATTCTCTCAATAATTATTCCTTATACATTTTAATTGGTTTTTTTAACATGGTCAGTGGATCATATTTAGTCCTTTATAATAGTTTTGCATAAAATGAAAATGTTCTATGATATAGATGCACAGGTGGGACTCAAGCATGAGAGTATAGTATTTGGATAATTCAAAATGCAACTTTGCTTCATTATTTGCTCCATTCACTTAACTTATCATATCACACAGCTCATGAATAGCATTCATTTTTGTTGAAACTTTCATACCTGCACAAAGATACCTAAGAAATATCTCTAGGAGAAAAGTTGTACTACTTAACACAATGTAGTTATGTAATTCTTGGCCTGCAGTGCTCCTCCAATATTAAGTACAACAGTAATTATTCTACTTGTGGACAGTAGAAAACTTCCAATGTTTAGCAAGGTCCTTCCAAATTTTTTTAATTCTTTAGTTTAATCTTCCTTTTTTACAGATCACTCCAAACAAAACAATGTCCAGGACATGAACAGAAAAAGCACAAAACAGCCCTGCAAACACTGCAGGTACCCTCCCTCCACTGAGGCAGCTCATTGCACACCTCATCTCTTTTAATGCAGTAAAGGGAGAAGAAGAGAGAGACACTGTAACAAATCATCATCTTTATTTCAATTGCAGTTTTCCCTGTCAATAGGTTTTAGTAAATCGATATTTATACTGAAAGATATATTTAATATGGGGGGGAAAAAGACTTTTATAATCAAAGAGTTTTCTTTTCATTGCTTCTTCAAAAATACATTTTGATAATAGCAACTGCTCATTACAATATAAACCAGAAAAAGCATTCATGTACTGTGGCATGGGAAGTACTGCCAGTTCTACATGCTCTACATAGTTTCTTTAAAATTTTTACGTTCTTTAGGCCTCAACAAAAACCAAAGCTCCTCTTCCAGGTTTGGTAGCAAACAGACTATTATTCTCCACTGCTAACCTTTGGCCATCCTTTTGGTAATAAGCTTTTTTTACATTTTTTAGGAAAGTGTTCAGCTTGTCAGTAGGCACCATTGACACAGTGCAGCCACCCCATCCAGCTCCAGTCAGACGTGACCCAATGGCCCCAAATTGCCTAAAAGAAAATAACAGGGAAAAAATCATGTAAAATAAACCAAAAAGAGGTACTTTGTAATATATAAAATTTTACTAGAAAACTCAGATGTGTTTTGAGTATTCCCATGTCATCGGGCTTTTCTGATGTTCACTTGCTTGTATGTAACACTACAGCAATTTGCAGTTACCCTTTAGGACCAAAGAGAAGTGCTGATGCCTTAAACTGCAATATAGTAATTTCTGCTGGTTCCAAAAGTCACCCTATTTTCTAAAGCTTCAGCATCAGCTGTTTTTAGGATCACAGCACAGCTGAGATGAAGAAAGCAGGAGAAGAAAGGAATTGTGTTAGCAACATTCATAAGACATCAGAAGTGAAAACAGAAATACATGACAAAAATAACAAAAGAGGGTTCATAAACTAATTGCACAGGATGTAGGCATGCAAGCCATTTTGTAATGTGGCAAAGACAAATAGCTCTATTCTTCCAGGACAGATCTAAACCATGCTGAAGATTCACAGGCTTCTGCAGGACTGCTGAACGTGCCAGTCAAGAAAATAAGAGTTCAGAGACTCTGAAAAAGTCACTGCACTGCGTACAAATACACTACATAAACTTCTGTTTATGCTGTATTGACATAGTTGGGTATCTTTCTTTAGAGGAACCTCATGAACTTAAAACTGACAGCAGTAGAGGTAAAATATAAATGTAGTCCCAAAAGAAAAAAATGCTCTGAATGAGGAGTGTGAACAGAAAGAACAATGACAAATAAATGACACGCAAAATATAAACCATCCCAGCCTTAGGATACTGGTCTGCTAGGAATGTCCTAGAGCAAATCCCATGCCGTTACACTGCAAGACTGAGATGCCATCTGATTAGAATTTAGAGTTGTTTTCAATAGTTTGCTTACCTGTGTTCCTGATCTTTACTTGGAAAACGCAGGAAAAGACCATGTAATAAGTTACTCTGGGGCTTATTTAACTTAGTGAGAACAGAACCAGTCAGATTTAGAAAACTCATCTGAAATCATATTCTTGTGGGAGATCTAATCTGACTTACAAACAAATACTTTTGATGTGTTTCCAATAGCCAAGCACAGAGAGATTCACCAGCCCTAAAATATGTTAGAGGGAGAGACAACATCATGTGAATACCATTGGAAAATGACAGCTCATTTGGAGTGGGCTGTTGTAATTTTTCATGTGTGCATTTTATGTCAAATGAATCTGGTGTAGTGCTGGGTTAGTAGAGGTTTAGGTCATATTTCAAGCAAGTACTTGCATATGTATTTGATTCTAAACACACATCTCTTCTTGAACAGAAACACTTTCTTCAGTGTGTCTGTGTGGTGCCACCCTTCATATTGACTCGATTTTATGTTCATTCTGCATTTCCTGTTGGTGTTTCATTTTACTTATTGTTATTCCTGTAAGCCACTCATTCTCTGATGCAATTTTGGTAGTTTCTAATCCATGGAGCAACCCCCTAAAATGAGCAGGATCCAATCCAGTATCAGTTACAATAAATAAGGATATTCCCATTGACTTTATAAGGCCCAATCCACTTTTCAGAATCCGTTAAATCAACTGTCTGTACTCATTTTGTCTGTTACCTCAGACAGAATTTCATATTTCAGATGGTGTCTGGCTTTTATTTTGGTAGGCAACTGAAATCCCTTCAGAATTGTTCTGAACCTTTTACTGATTTCATAATTCTCTGTGGTCATGCTCATGCCTCATTTTTACTGAGTCATTTTTGAATACTTAGTTGAAATAAAGGATAAAGTAGACAGAAAATATGCCAGTTGCAGAGCTGAAGTCACTGTGTTTCAAAATACTGTGGCTTAACAGTGTCAAATGTGGTGCTAGCAGCCACCTGGGGCTGCTGAGGGACCTGATGGGCAGTGCTGCACCATCTGAAAACTGGGTACCTGGTACTGCAGGGATCCAGGAGGGAGCACCTGATTCTGTGTCTGCGGGAGATGTGGTGCCTTGGATGTACTAAGATCAAACACAAGGAAGTTGTCTTTGGAACAGGTCTAGAACTGCCTCATTAAAGTTTTAATCAGTTCAATACTAAGCTGGACCTCTCTGGTAAAGTGGGATTCCTGGCCAGACGCTCCTCTTTGCACTGGGATCTTTTTGGAGAGGAGTCTGAACAGACAACCTTGTGGATGGGGAGGTGTGGATTTCATGTATGGGAACGGCCTCGTGCTGCAGCTCATGGACAGGGAAGGCCGGGAGGAGGATAAAGTGTCTGGAGTCCAGTGCTGGGGGCACTCAGCTGCCAGTCCCAGGTTCTGGCCTTTGCTTCTGAAAAATGTTTATCTATCTTGTTCCAGTCTTCACTGGACACAAAGAGAATTAGCTTATGGGGTTGTTGATGAGTAAAAATACGTTAATGAGTAAAAATATGCAGCAAAGGAAAGAATAAAAGAATGAAAGGAGAGAGTAAAAATGGAAATCCCATAGTTTGGTATATGGGAACAATAGACAAGACATGGTAGTAGTCAGTTTTAAAAATAACTGAGCCTTTAGGAGGTAAAAAACCCCTAGAGCAATATTGTTAATTTGAAATACTTAAAATTATGAAGTAGCTTTTTGGGAAGCATGGAGTTAACATGGTAAGATTTAAATATATAAATGGCGAGGATTGCACTTATTCTGCTTTGTAATTTAGTTTGCATTTGAATAGCATCTTTAAGCATTTCTGTCTTTGTTGAAATTCCAAATTATGCCATGATTGCAGGCTCTGCAGCTTTAAGAAAATCATCAGTGGAAGTGGTAAGAGTCTTCATAAAATGCAGAATTGTGTTGGCTATCATAATATACCTGGATGTAATGTACAATCTGTATCTTTTAAAAGTGGTCAGAGAGGATTCATCTGGCTGTCATGTAAGAGGCATGGCTGGAAACACAAAATTTATCAGGATTTATAGCACCAAAAGATGGAAAATAAGAAAATGAAAGTACATATGTGCAACACTAAGGACTGAGAGATTTTCAAGAGCACCTAACTTACTCAGGAGCTCAAATCCAATTTTTTTTTCCCTTAATTGTTTAGTAAATCTGCTGTGTTACCTGCTTTAGAAGACAAACAGGTAAACCAGCTACTTAGAGCATGAGGAGGGCTAGGGAAAGCACAAGTCTTCAACCTTTGCAAAATGGAAAAAACAACTGACCAACTCATGGTTACAATTTTCAGCACTACAAACCACAGCAAGTATGGATCCCTTTCTTTCTTGGCAGAGGTTATGCAGTAAAACATAAAGGTCTAGGCAAAAGAGAAAACATCTGGATATGCAGATTATTCTTCACAGTTTAAACCTTGTAAGGAGAGAGCAGCAGTAGACTCAGGCAATTCTGTGGAATGTATTTTTGGAAAAGCTTTTGAAAGTTACAGGGCAGCTGTATATCATCGTGAATAAAGAATGTAATTTATGTAGTTCCTGACCATTTCTATAATCACATCAGCCAAGTCTTCCTGGAGTGACTAGTGATTTTATGTTCTTTAGGTTTTTTAATGTACAATTTAAGAAAAGTTCAGATTTTTTTCCAAAAATTAGATGCTGGCTTAAGCTGCATTCACCCAGAAGAGCTATACACTTTTAGAAATCTAATTACTGAATCAGAAAAAGATTTAATACTAAACTTCTAGAGAAGAAAGATGCATTTCTTAGAAAATATTTTTGGTGGGACAAGACTGCAAAGAATAATGAACAAACAATTTACTTGTTTCTGTGCAAAGAATACAATAAAAAAAACCCCAGATGAAATAGTTTTAATATATAAATTTGAAATCATTCCATGTGAATGACACTCCACTGTGGTACTTAGCTCTGCCCATCATATACTGTGGGCTCTTCTGCTAGAAAATCAGAAATCTGATGTAATGTGAACACACACATCACTTTTTTCCTTTACTACTTGTATTTTGCTCCCTGGAACTGAAAGGCTCTGATGAATTTTAATTTAATTTAGAAAAATCCTAACTGCTGCTTTCCTTTTGGTGCTGTGGCTGTGCTCCTGCCTGCCAGCCAGTGTCCCCCTGCCTGAGCTGGCTGGAGCTGTGTTGCTATAGAAGCACAGAGCTCAGCACAAATGGGGAACACAATTTCCATTCCCCTGCTGAGCTTCCTGCTGCCAGAGGCTGTCACTGCCACTCTTGCAGCTTTACTGGAACGTGGCACAGGTAACTGCACACTGCAGAGCACATCTGGCCATGTTGTACCTGCTTGTTTTGCTCTGCACAGGGCAGGACAGTTTCCTCCCAGCTTTTCTGAGAACAGGCCCTGTCAGAATGGGTTCCTCAGGTCTGCCGAGTGCCTTCACTTGGATGCCACTGACTGAGGCAGCAGCTCTGGGCAGCTACTGTACCTAAAGCAATGCAGATGTCAGTGTAAGGCTCCTGCCTTGCCAGGGGTGCCTCAGAACAGGCAGTGCCGATGCCTTGCACAGAATCAAGACTTCATTGCCCAAGATCCTTGATAATTCAGTAAAGCTCAGTTTCTGTTTTCAGCTGACCCTGGAGATGGTTCTCCCCTCTCACAGATCAGCAGTTCCCTTTGAGCAGCTGGGATAACTCTGATGGAACTGCCCTGCTGAGTGACTGTCACAGCTTATTGTATGATGTGGTCTCTATGTGATACAATAAACTGAACACAGCCTGAGAGTTACACCCTGGACTGGGTCCCAAGAGAAGAATCAAAACTTGTTCTGCTCAGTTGCTATCAGTCTGTCAGGCTATCAGGCTGCTTTGTGTTTTAGCACAAAACAGCACATGTATCCCACATGCAAAATACTCCGTCAATGTCCAGAAGCCTTCCATTCAGTTTTTAGGTTTGTAGCTTTCTGCCTCGGAGGCCATTCCATCTTGTCGGCAAAAGAAATCAGACTCACCTAAATAATCATGTTTTGTACTCTATTGATTTACAAGCCTGATAAATGGGTACTGCAACTTAAAAAAATCCATGAGTGCAGAAGAAAATGTGTATGGTAAATTGCATGCTTGTAAAATTCGTACCTTCATTCTAAGCCAGACTAATTTCTCAGTTAATTTTAAAAAAAAGCTAGTAAAGGTGGTAAGGTATTAATTATTTAATTTTTTAAAATTCAAATTGAAACTGTTTCTTTTCTTCAAGACTGAAAATATGTAGAGAGAGGATGGGATATCTGCTTCTAAAAGACAGTGAAACATTTCTTAACCCAGGCCTGCAAACACTTGTGTCTCCCCACATTTCCCTTCTAGCAAGGCAGTAATGCTCTGGCTTAGAGCAGTTTCCCAAACTAAGCACACCCTTCTCCAAGGAGAAGAAGGAACAATTAGGGGCACAAGTTAGGAGAGTGGCATCACCAGGGAGCCATTATGGGACTGTGGGGAGCAGGTGGGACAGGGGGGCTGGAGCAGAGGCGGGGATGGAGTAGAGGTGGGACAGCCCAGCTGGGAAACTGTTTATTTCCCACAGCCACTGTTAAAATTATCACCAACCAATAAGTTCCTTCTATAGGCACTGAATTTAGATCAAAGTTAGCATCAAGTTCTGTCCTGTGATTAAAAATACCAGAAAAAGAGAAATTAAGAAGGACTGAAATGTGTACATTGTTTGATGCTGACCCTGTGGGAGGGATGAAATGCTGTGTAGGATGTGAGTACTAAGTGCTTGTTTTTACTTTGTGCATTAACACACTATTGTACCAGATCTCATCGTCCCCTGTAGCTGAGCCATGGAAACAACAGCCTGATACCACAACAGCCTGTGTGTGGGAGAACAGAAGGGACAAAATGGCACTCAGGGAATGTGTTTTGGAACTGAGATTGTTTCCTTATGACCAAACTGAGTTAGGAAGGGATCACAGCTGAAAGATTAATGCTGGGGACTTAATTATATGTGGAAAGCTCAAACAGCACAGAGAAGCAGAGTGCCAACCGCTGTAACTGTAAGCACACTTATTTCTTAAACAGTGAAATGCTGTCCAAACTATCTGATATTCCGGATAACTTTTTTTTAATTGAAAAAATGCAAATGGCATTTCACTACATTTCACTATAATTCCAAGACAATTTAAGATTATAGAACAGCTTGTTTATGCCCTGGAACTCCTGTGACAGCAGTACTGAATGGTTAAGAAACACAAAAAAGGTATATTAGATTAGATATTGGAAAGAAATTCTTTCATATGAGAGTTGTGAGGCACTGGAATAGGTTGCCTAGAGAAACTGTGGATGCCCCATCCCTGGAAGTGTTCAAGGCCAGTTTGAATGGGGCTCTGAGCAGTCTGGTCTGGTGCAAGGTGTCTCTGCCCATGGCAGGGGAGTTGGAACATGATGATCTTTAAGTTCCCTTCAAACCCAAATCATTCTATGGCACTATAATTCTAAAAGATAGAGAAAAAGTAACAGTTCAGATAGAACAAGTAAGATGATGCTTTAAGAAAACCACTTATGACTTCTTCTGCACTTAAAAAAGAGTAGCCAGCAGTCTAACGTAACACTTGTGACGATGAGTCAGTCCAAAAGCAAAATCTGTAATAAAGCCATAAACCGTAGCTTTCATCTGAAAGTATTACACAGATGTCAGCAGGGAAACAATTGACCGTGTAATGTCCCTGCAGGAGATTAATTTTGTAAGAAGAGACAAGAATACTTTCATTTTAAGATTGCAATAGCCAAGGATGTCATGTTTTCTCCTCAATTCAAACCGTATTCTCCACAGACGATTACTCTTCCTTGTGGTCAGAACTTACAGGCAGATGTCGACCAGGCGGTCCAGTTCAGGACAGCTGCACTCATACATCTCCCTGCAGCTGATATGGCTCTGCTGCATTAATTCCCCCAGCAGCTGGAGTGCGTTGGCAGGTGCTTCGCTGCAAATCTTCTGAAATTCCAGCACTCTGGCAGCCTCACTGTACACGTGCTTTGCACGCTGGTATAACTTAAAGGTGGAAACTAAACAAAAAGAAAACTGATTATTTACTACAAAAGCAACGTGCAAAAACATAACACAATTGTGGTTTTTTAGCAATTTATCCTTTATATGAGAACTCTCTAGGCTGAAAGTCTTCTGCAAAAATTCACCTACATCTTCTTTAAAAGCCCTAATAACAAATCATGTTTAGAGGTTATCAAAATGCAGTGTACACATCTTTTTTCACTTTGACAGCTTCATGCACATGCTCTGGTTATTTCCTGTGCCACTGAACAGGCTCAGTCTCTCCACTTACTTTGCAGAGGCAAGGCAGAAGCTTTAAGGGTTGGCAGTGACAGCATTAGGGCATTAATCTAAAGCTTTCAGCTTTTCAAATAGCAGCAGAACAGAGGCAGAATAGCAGCAGAACACCTGGAGGGTCCCCAGTGCCCTGCAGGCAGCTGTCAGGCAGCACCTGCTGGCCCAGGGCCTTTGTGTGGCTGCTCCAGGCCAAATCTGCAGCAATTATGGAACTGTGCAGATGGACCTTTGCTTGAAAGGAAACAACCACCAAACCACAAAAAACACCACCCAATTTTGTCTTTTTTTTTTTTTTTTTCCTCAACAATACAGGCTCACTGTGACTGTAGTTAATACTGGATTAAAGGTACAGTGAAGAGAACAGGTGCTTTCGCTTTGATTTTCAGGGTTTATTTTTGGTACAGGTACACTTCTTTTTAATACACTTGCCAAAATGTTAGTGCTGCCTGTGTGGATGGGAAGAGATGCCAAGCCCAGAGAGATACTGATTAGTACTGACCTGATAAGATTAAAGACTAGTGCAAGGATTTTGCCTAAATTTTTTCTATTGTGCCATAAAAAAGCAGCTCTCCTGGGAAGGGTCAAGGGGGTGTCCAAACCTGTGTGGTCGTCAGCATAAAGACCTCCATCAAGCCTGAATAATGGGGCATAAAAGGCAGGAGATGGCTGTGGTTAAAGACACCACATGCCACCCATATTTACAGGAAGGTTTGGTTTGCAACTAATATCTGAAAATTGATCTGCTGTTTCCAAGCCTGTGCTGTAGTTCATTGTTTTCCTCTCCCAATATAGTTATGTTTGCTTTAATACCATGGCTACTATTTAGGAAGTATTGTTCACCAGAAGCATGCATGACATAATTTAATTTATGACTAAATTGGTTTGTGTGAGCTGTTTGGGTGGTAAGTATTAATGGACTTTAACCTCTATATGGAGCACCTACTGCACTGTTTCCTTATTTTAGCACAGCAAAGCCTTGCCAGAGCACTTCAGGACATCCTTCATCTTCTTTCTACACGTAAATTCTCCTTCAGAGTGAACTTTCTCCCTCAGTTCAACTCCTGGTCTCTCTTGCTTTCTAAAATGGCTGATAAAACACTCAAATAGAGGTAAAAGGAGAAACAAGACCAGCCCTGTATTTAAAATAGAACTTGCTGTCTGATCCAGTCCCACAGAGTTCCTACTTGGCTGTTCCGTAGAGACTTCCAACTGATGGAACCACTTCTAACACTTTCAGCAATCCTCATTTGCAAATACATGTAGAAATCTTCCTTGAGAGACTGGAAATAAAATTAGGTCTCGTATGAAGTGTCTCGTGTTGTACACTCCAGGCAGCAACGCTTAGAGACTAAAACTTCATCAGCACCTCTATAATGTCTTTTCTTTTCTCCAGAGTATTTCACAACTGTAAATGCTGAAAATAGTGCTGAGACACAAGTAGTCTAAAATGAGACAGAAACATTTAACATAGCAATGTTCTGCTACTGCTGATATTGCTTCTGCTCCTATTTATTTTGTAATTCAATACAGTGTACTACTGAGAAACCCTGTGCTGTTTGTCTTGTGAACAGGCTTTCTGAAAGCATTTCAAACCAGGACAGAAATGAGAAAATTGAGTGCCCCCCAAAACCATGGACTTGAGAATATCACACAGGGAGAGATATTTTAGTTTCTGATTTTGTTGCTGCTGGAGTTAGTTGCACTGTGTTTTACAAAGTAGTCCCTCTATTTTTGAATGCTGAAGAAAAGCAGCTTGGCCCATTTTTAAGGATGGTTTCTCTTTAAATATTCTTTTCTTATGAGGCATTGTTTTAAAGCAAGGAGATTTCTAAATGTGCATTCATTTAGGGAATATCTAAAGTTGCGTGAGAGATTGCCATAGCTCACACTCTCTTGTAAATCACCATCGAACAGTAGTAACCCAAAGAATGAACTGAAAACATGTCTGGTTTCAATTGTCAGGCCACAGACTTGCCAAAGGCTGTGATTGATTCGGAGACCACCCTTTGGTAGAGCAATGCTCTACTGGCCAGATTACCTTAAAATCTCTGGGGCTGTGTTGTGCTCGTCATGTTAGGAGTTGGCAACCACAATGGGCGGTGGGCTCTGGCTGCCAGCCAGGGGAGCTGAGCTGTGTCCTGGGCACTGCTGGCTCTGGGAGAGCCTCTCAGTGGAGGGGGAAATTTGCTACCTTGACACAGCTTCCCCTGGCTGGGAACACGCTCCTTCCAGGCAGCAGAGAGTGGCTGTGTGCTATTTGGAGACTCCTTTGCAGACGTTTACCAAATGAGTACTGGTTAAAGGCTGGGATGCTGGCATTAGCTAGTAGTCTGTTACAGGCAGCATTTTATTTCAAAAAAATTATGTTTGTGTTTAAAAATTTTTGTTATAGCTTGCTTTTCTTCTCAGGCAGTTTTCTTTTCAGGCACGATTATCTTGAGGACAACAAACAGCTCAGTACTCTTTAAGTCTTAGTCTAAAATAATGAAATTATTCACGTATTTTCAGCTTTCAACACTAAGTGCCTCTGATAATACGGAAACCTTCTTCTATCTCTTCTGTTTGGATGGGCAGTCCACACAAACCCTCTCCACCTAACTGGAGATAGAGTACAGATGATATTTCTAAAAGTCACATCTATATTAGAATCTGCTTGCTACATCACAGCTTGTATATTGGCTCCACTCGTTTTCTAAGCCATACTCTGTCACGGTTAAAAGAAACAAAACCAAAGGGCCCACGCCTGATTAGTTTATATCTGAGCCAAGGCTGGAGTGCTCTGAAAGAAGAAAAACTGAAGCCCTCAAAGAAATCCTTGCAGGATTGAACAGAACTGGGTTATATGGTCTTCTCTGTGGTACTTAAAGGAGAGCAAAAAAGCAGAGTTAGGGAACTAATGCCAGATTCTTAAAAGCATGTGGATCCTCAAGTCTACTATAATGTATGGAATTAGGTAATTAATTAGACCAGAAATGTAAATGTACTTTCCTAATCCACTCAACTACAATAAAGGCCTGGTTTCTCCCACTTCAATTTACTTCAAGTTCTCTGAACTCCTGAACTCCTGCAGAAGATTTCTGTCAGGTCACCCATGAACAGGTAAATTCAGTTCACTTACAAACCACCAGATGCCCTTGAAAGAATGGTGCCATTTTCCAGGGCACTAATAGATAGCACTGCAGCAAGAACCTTCCAAGTTGCTGTGACCTAGCAGACTAATGTTAATGAAAACTTGTCCAAAATCCTTATAAAATCCTTTAACAGACAAAAATCTGGGCTATTAGACCCAAATAATTGTGGGTTAACTAAATATAACAAAAATGTTTACTGTGGATTTTCAACTGTATGGTCATATTTTTAATTTTAGCTTTACAAAAATAGTGCAAACCTGTCCAGTCCATTTAAAGGAATTTTTTTTCTGTATAAGTAAATGTTGTGGCTTCTCAGCAACTCCTATTATTTGTTACAACTTCAACTTCAGCAGATTCCTTTCTTTAGAGGCTTCCTGTACAATTCTATCTGACCTTTAGCTAAAGACCAACCTCTCCAGGCTATATATTTTTTTCTAGTTGCTTTGGCAGCTTCTAAAGATACATTTCACTGGAGATTAATGAGCTACACATGGCTGATGGGACTGTCAGAAATTTACAACCGGAAAAACTCACGGACATGCAGTTGTGTAGGGGACAGTTTCTAGCACCATTACTCACGTGGAATAGTACCCTTCTCTGTTAGGCATCCTGCTGATTGAACATGATGAGGGTGAAGGTTTCTGGCTCATAATGTGTATAAGAAAATACTGCCAGATGGCTTTAATTTGAGCCAGATTGTGAACCCCCTACTTGAAGTGGGGAACAGTTACTCTACTGGGACTGCTCAAGTAACTGTTTGCAATCCAGCTTTCTGAAAATAAACCAGGGGACGAGTCATCGCTGGATTCGGTGACACATTTAGCAGACACCTGTTTTGAGATTATGATAACTACTGGTTTAAAGTGATTTTTTCTCCAGAGGAATGATGGCTTTACAAGGCTTTTGCAACTAACCTGGACTATTCAGTGTCTGTACGTAACCTGTGGCACACCCCAGAAGCCCCCATCCTCCAGGTATGGGATCTGCCTGGAGCAGCCACATCTCTGTTTCTGTGGTATGTCCCAGAATTTCTCCGTGACATGGATCAGGGTGAGGCTGAACTAGGCACCTGGACCCTTAAACTGGACAGAGCTCTGAAGTCTGTCAGTTTGGAGGTGTAATTCTGGTCATGCAGGACATCTACTGATGCACAGAGAAAGCTTTTTGTACCCCAGAGCTGCCTGACAGAACACTCGAGACCCCCTCACCTATACCCATCAGTGCAGGGAGTGTGGAAACTGTTCCTGCACTCACGTCACCATCAATGCCCATGAATGGCTGTTCAAGCACCTCAGTGGAATTTGCATCACAGATTTAGAATTCTCTTTCCAGGGGAAAAATAGGAATTAAACAGTCAAATCCACACAGCAAATAGATGGACTCCTCCCATGGTATTTTCATTCTCTGATTAAAATATCAGAATCAGATTAATTTTTTTAATATGAAAAGGAAAAATGGGTTTAAAAATACATCATTTAAGAAGAAAAAACATTTCATGGTTAAAGAAATACAATGTTTTACAGGATAATATCCTTTTGTGGCGAAGCTTATAAATACTTAATGTCCCACAATCACCACACTCTGTTCTGTAAAGCAGTCGAGTCCAAGCCAAAATTATGGCACAGTGCACCTTAGAAAGTAATAAATATTATTTTTCTAGAGATGTTCAGAAGCCACAAGTGCAATCCATGTGTAAACATTTGCAAGGGAGCTTTAAACTCAGAATTTTGAACTGACCAAGAAACAACTGCAAGAAGTTTAGAAAGGCTATATACACCATCTGTACGTCTCCAAACGTGGGGAACAAATGGGCTGTAAAGTGGAGAACAGCAGAAATCCTTGAATACTTGCTGTAAAAGGGATGCAGAGTTGCTGTGCAAAGCCAGTCCATAGATTGTTCCTTTGAGATGTGGAGTTTTTATCTGGTCATCCTTACACACTGATAAAACTTTATGCAAGTATACAGTACTGTCACTGGAGGAGTAGAGGAGGGGAAGCTGGACTTTAAGCTAAATTAGTATGTACAGAGCACTTTTAGATCCTTAAACATGAGACAATGGCAATATAAAAGAGTATTTGTAACACTCCCTGGGCACGAAAAAATCCCCTAAATGTTACAGTTTGTTTTGCATGTTGAACAAAGAAATTCAGCAACACCTGAAATCCTCTGAAGAGGTTACTTATTTGACAGTATGTTTTCTCTCTCACATGAAGAAGCCAGGCATTGTCATTAAATTAGAGTGGGAAAGTAGAGGGGAAGTAAGAAAAATGTTTTCTTCAAACAGCCTCTGGTGTTCCAAAGCCAACATAATGTGTAATCTATATAGTGTGTAACAAACCCAGCAGATTTAGATTCTTTGTATGTCTGTCTTGTTTCTTCTATATGCTTTACAGAAATTTGTTATTTAATTTTCTATTGTACGTGCAAAAAGGCTTTCAGCATAATCCTTTTTAATTTGTCTTATCAAATGAAATCATGGTCATGCAAGTTTAAGAGACTCTGTTCAGCAAACATCTGCAAATGGTATTCAGAGCTACAGTATAAAATTTCCTTTGAGTTTCTTCTATGGCTTTTATGTCTAAATTTTTCATCTAGACTTTGTTTTTTGAAAAAAAAAATCAAGATAACCTGTATAAGCAACTCAATTTTGCAGAACTATAGAATTTTGTTTTATAAACTAGGTATAAGGTGTGTAAACATCTGTAAGTTAATAGTCTTGCATTGCTTCATGAAGGGGAGAGTGCAGGGACTGTGTAAGATTTACAACCTTGCAGTTTCCCAGGAAAATGCTGCACAGTGCAGGTACATGGTTCATATATTCCTCATGTACACACAGTACAAAGTTATCAGAACTCTTGGTATGGAGACAAAGAGCTGGTTTAAGATATCTTATTCCATCCTGGTATCTTCTGGCCGTGTAATTAGACAATAAGATAGTCTAATACTGTCTGATACCACTGGGGTGCAGAACAGGTTGAAGATTCAAGACCTGGTCCATGGTTAATATATAAAATTTACAATCACTCCAGATGAACAGATTATTTAGGTAAGTGTCAGGATAGATAGATATGTTACAGATCTGTGTACATCCAATGTACACATTCCTGAAAGCAGTCTTGGGAAGGGCTGATAAGGATGTAATTTGGCTCCAAAAGAATACAGGTATTAATGCTACAGAACGGAAACAAGGAAGAAGGATTCTGTGTATTTCTTACAGAAAGATTCTGATCTCTATTGGAAACCTGTTATGAAAGCAACAAAATAATTTCATAAATTCTCTGTTATTTGGTATTATTAGCAACCCTACTATATGAATCCAGAATACATTTCATGTATTACAATGCTCATGACTGTGTGGTATAATCTAAACAATAACACATGGGAAACACTTTAGAGAGTAAATTTTTCATCTACACCAACATCTTCCTAAAAGGAAAAAAAAAAATAATACTGACAGAAACTTTCTCAGGAAAGAATGAGACTTGCTTCTTGTTTTAGAAGTGATCATGTATTTATCAGTTAAGAACAGAACCACAAGCCCATCTATGCTGGTCTTAAACACTAGTTAAGTGATCTGCTATTTTCATCATTTTAGAAACAGTTCAATCAAAATCAAAGTTTGCTCTATTTTAAATTAAAAGTTAGAATGAAAATATCAATTGATGATGATATAAATTCTTTCACTTCCCAACCAAGATTCCAGCCAAGTATTCTGGCAAGACTTCCACTTGCACTACTTATTAATGCGTAACATTTTTATATAATATAAACATTGTACAGTAAACCCCACCATTTCATATATGCTCACCATCTTGCATGTTTTGACTAAGGATCTGAGAGTGGAGCTCCTCCAGGCTAATTCCCAGGCATTTACAAATTTCCTCTGCGCTGTAAGGCTCAGGATGTAATACCTCCTCGACAATGGTCAGCATTTCCTCTAGGCTAACTCTTAGCTCGGTTTGCACATCATGGAGTCTCAACATTTTTCTCCACTCCAAGCCTTTTGACTTTGAGAGAAGCTAAAATAAAAAAAAATTTAAAAAAAATTAAAAAAAAAAGGAAACAGAAAATATTGTGCTTTCCTGTTTAAAACTATCAGTTGTCCGTAAGTATCTTTAAGGCCCGTTTTCTCTTTTCACTTCGTAATTGAGAACCATCAAAACCTACTTTTTGTCAGTACAGAGTAGTCAATACTTATATTTATTATTAAAGGTCTGTGAATGACAGGTATTCTTCCCTCAAATGAGATACTATCTGTAAAAGCCCTACTGGCATTATTTGTGTGACATCAGATCAGTGATTTATCCTCTTCCATGGACTTTGTTACTTCGAGCTCTTACTAACCTTTTACAATCTGATCTGGACAACTGTTTATACAAGTGCTATGATGTTGTAACAGTAAAAGTCCTTAAAAAGTTTATTTCCATACTATTAGTATTTGCTCTAACATTTCAGTTTGACATTACCAAAATGCTCCTGGAATTTTCTGATGAACATTTGATGTTGTCGTAACACCCTTTTCTCGTAATAGCCTTAAAAATATGAAAGTGGTCATAAGATTTATGGAGAGAATAACCATAACCTTTGTCAGTCTCTGGAGTTTTAAGTAAAATTTAAGTACCTTCTTTAACATCCAATTTGAAGGAACTTTTGAGCCTTTACAGGAATGGTGCAATGGTCTGAATCTGTTCCATTCCTGCATGGTCGCTGTGATATTCTTTAGTTATAGATGGATCTGCTTTCCCCGCTCCTGGCAATGATACCATGCTTTGTGTATCTTTGTGATGTTTTGGCAGTTGACAATCATACTACAACACACTAGAATCCTGAAAGGCAGAATGTCCAACATGCTTTTCTCTGGAAGGTTGAAATATGTGTTGATGCTCCCATGAATGAAAATGGTAAAACAGCTTTCCTCATAAGGTGAAATATTTTGATGTTATGAATTATAGAAGAATAGTCAGTGGTCATTGAATACCACCTGTAATTTAAACAGATTACAAAGTAAAACAAAGTTTATCAGGTATACAGCAACATCACTTTACTGTGTTCATAGGCACATGGTGTTTGTTCAGTACTGCACCATTTAAATTGAGTTTAAAACTTCTAGATCATGCTGTATGTCTGGAAAGAGTTTAAAACCATACAGAAAGACCAGGGAATGAAATCCTTTTTCTATACAAATCAGCATTCAAACCTTTTATGAACAAGGCCAAGATTCCACCCAGTGTGTTTTATTCTTTTCAATAAGCACTGGTTTGGACTGAGATTGCTTTGAAATCATTTGTCTTGATTCAGCTAAGCCATTTAATTTTCTGGGTTAAAAAATCATGGGATTTACATACATATCTGAAAAGTATTTGCTTTGTTTTGTGCAAAGTTACAGCATGAAATTTAACCAGATCTGTTGCCCAGCTATCTATTACTCTCCTCCAACAGTGATTTTTTTACAGGGGCCCTTCCAGTTTTGCTTTATTGCAGTATCTAAAAATTAACTACTTTTGGTGCCATCTAGTGACTTGCTGGGATTTATGTGAGGCTCAGCAGAGACAAACAAAATCCTAATCATATAACTTTGTTTCCATTTAAAATACAAATTTATATGTTCAGTGGTAGAGAAAGAAGCAGAACTGTTTAGTGCCTAATGCAGAAATCAGTGTGAGACAATTTTTTTCTGTAAAAGACTGGTTAAGTCACTTCTGGCTTCCTTTTTAAAGGCTCTGAATACCTAGAACTCTACAGCCTTTATGTAATTTGTATTTTAGCTTACTTATGTTAGAATAAAAATTACTGCTTCATTTAACTTAAATATATTGTATGTTGGTGCATATCTTCTTCAAGATGCTAAATGAATAGAAATTATTTTCCTCATGCTTTAATCCCAATATTCAGCATCCCCTGGACTTTATTATGAGGAGTTAGATAGAATTTACGAATAATATTCTAAAAGGCAACAACATTTTTTCTACTTCCTTTTTTAATAAATAATCCCCTGCAGAAATATGCCACATGCATTGTCACATCTCTTCCCCTTTCTTCAAGGGAGATGCTGTATTTCAGGCATGCCAACTACACTGGGGTTTTACAGGTCAAATGTTCCAAATGGCAACTGATCCTGTTAGGCCAGCAGGCATGGCTTTGCTGGAAAGGTCTATCCTGCTTCTAGCAAAGTTTTGATTCGAACAGCACTGGGAAAAATATTATGGGCAAACAGAAATGATTTTTTGAAAACAGTTTAGCTGCAGCAGCTCGAATTGTAATGGACATGGAACAGAAACAGGAAAAAAAATCCATCTCTTTAATGTACAAAAACTAATTCCAATACTTCTCCCACAGTTGGATATTTTCTTGATTATCTCTGGCTAAATTGATTAAAGATATGGACATCAAGCAGCTCTTAACTGCCAGGATATAGAATCTTTGGGCTTTATTGTTCTTTATTGTTCAACATAGGCATACTGGAGAACTGTAAGTAATTGAGAGGAAAACATACTTGGTAAATGATGGGGCAAATATAAATATCAGAAAGTCAGACTAGGAGCAAGTCCAGGAATACTTTTATAGCAGCATCACTTCCTTACACATAACATTTCTATAATGCCATCTGAGCAGTGCCCAGGAGCTGCTGGTGGCTCTGCAGCTGCAGACACCGCTGGCCCCACACCACGCTGAGGCTGAAGCAGGGGGAGCTCGGAGCGGTAGGGACAGGTCGGCTCCCTGTGGAACCGTGAGTGCTCTGCAGAACAGAAACGTCTTTAAACTGGAAACTCACTGTGACAGAGTGCAGGAGAGCACTCAGAGGCTGCTGCAAGAATAGAGAAAGAGAAAGAGATACAGGCAAAAGAATGATTCTCTAGAGGAAAGGCAAAGAAACAGAATCTAAGAAAGATAATTTATCAGGATGATCAAGAACTCTAGCAAAATGTTCTACACTAATGCTAGCAGGGATATATTTTGTAGGCATCTTTACCTACACAGTAAAGTAGTATGAAATTTTAGAATCATCTAAAGCAGAAAAGGGGAAAAGAAGCCTATCCTAAGGCACTTACAAGAGAATTTCTTATAAAGCATTATTGCAAGGCCCAGGACGTTAGTTCATAGTTCCATTAGTTTAATAGTGCTTAAAAGACTTCCCTGTTTCCACTTACATACCTGCCCTCCTTCACCCCACTGTGACCTCTTCCTAAAGACAGTCTTTTCCTGGCTCAATGTGTTTTTATAGTGTGTGCAGCTTTCCATCTGGGTAGCATATGTTTAAAAAACAGACAGGTGTATTTTGTTAGTCTCTTTACAATCGAGCATCTGCTAAAAGTACATTTTTAGAGATTGCATCATAGCTAACAGGAATGTAAAAGAAAAGATGTTTCCTTACTACCTTACTTTCCTTACTACCACTTCAGTATACTGTACAGGACTAATAATTTAAAGCAATTTAGAAAACTGTGATTCAATTCACAAAGTCTGGTATGTGGAACAATAACTTCAAAAGCTCTCACAGCTTAATGCACTCATTGTACAGTGCCTTTAGTGCCTTTTAGAACAGATTATCTGTGAAGGCTCTCTATTTCTTATGCAAAAAAAAAAAAAAAAAAAAAAGAATTTACAAAATAAGCTCCTGTTAAAAACATGTATTTTGTCAATTAGCAATCCCAAATTAGAGATTTATCAGTTATAACAGAACTAACAAATAGACAGGTTCTTATATTCATTTTCTTAATGGCTTAAAAATCTTCTTACTAACTTCAGTGACAACAGCTTGAACTGTGGTCATTGGTTCTATTTTTTTACCATGTCTTAGATACAACTGAAATGCAATTATTCCTTTTATACTTGAGTTTAAAGCCTGTTTAAAAAGTCATCTGAAGTCCAGCTTCCTTCCTCAAAAATATCTCAGCACATTATTTTATAATATATTTTGTCAGTGTCTGATCAGATCCTCAACTATTTTTTTAGCACTAACTAAAACTTGTAAAAAGTTATTTTTAATGGAATTAAGATGCCAACAGATGTTCAAAGTACTTTTGAATATTGATCAGATATTTGTCTAATATTTGTTCTGTAGCAAGGAGTTCCACATTGCATTTTCAAAGCTTTCTTCTACACTTTGTGACCCACATTCTGTTCTTTCCCACAGCACCCTATGTTGGGTACAACTGCAGTGAATCTTTATGCTCATTCCTCATTTACTCTTATCAAAGAAAAATGAACTATCTTCCCATAAAGAACTCTAATCAAACCCTACATCTACATATTCCTGAACATACAAAATCCAGTATTAAAGCAGAACTTAGATTTCCCCTGTTCAATTTACATACATCTTAGAGATAATTTCAAGCTGTAAACTGGAAGTACACCCTAAATGTTGGGGTTTCATTTAAGCCTGTTTTTAAACTTTACACTGAGATACATGCTGCTATTCAGTATTTCTAATATTACTTCCAGGCCTTCAACTACTAGCTTGGATGCTCTCTAAGTCCTAGAAAATACTCATCTATTGCCATATGTACATATAAACATGTGACCATACTGGTTGCTTTCCATTATTTGTCATTACTCAGCTTTAATTAGAAACAGTCTATATTATTAACTGGGAGTATTTTTTTCTCAAAAATAGACTTATTTCCTCCACTGAAATATAATAAAAATAAATTTAATAGAACTAAATCACATAATCTTCTATATAAGGACACAGTTCTTGCACTTCCATTAAGCTCAGCAGGAGTTCTTTTCTTGCATATGGAAGTGTCTGGTTCTGAAAAGAAAAATTGTACTAAGAGTAGCACCTAGCCAGGTGTTAAAGACACAACTGGTCAGAAGTGGAAAAAAGCACATATTTAGATGAAGGTTTCATTAGCGTTTGACATAAGCCATATGTTACCTTTGTAGCCAGCCGACACTCCATTACCCTAATATTGTAATGAGAAGTTGCTGCTTTATTCATTTCAACACAACTGTTAGCAATAACAAACGTTGCTCCACTTGGAAGTCTAACATCAGTTGCCCTCAGTGGACTGAACTCTATCAACTTGGCCTATTGAAAGAAAAATGAATGGTTAGTTTTAATTTACTACTAGCTAACAGTGCACTTAGTTCTATAAATCAAATGCAAATTTGCATGTTTTTTCTCTTGAAAATCCAGGCACAGTTAAGGAAAGAAAACTGACATGAAACAGCAAGAAAAGAGGTTTAACCTCATTGGTCAAGTTACACACACATTTCAAACCCTTCCCTGTAGCCGGATTTTAAAATGTTTCCATTAAGTCTTTTGACTTTTTAACAGAACCCCACCCGAACTATTTTTCTTGCCTGTTTAAGACAACAGTTTCACTTTGATCTGCAGAGAAGTACCAGGCCTGGCTGAAGCTAATGTGCATGCCACTAGAAACAAGGGGCTTTGCATTCCCTGCCCCTTCATCAATGTCCATCTCCCCCTCTGTCCTCTCGTTTTGCACTACATTGAGATCAGTACCTGAGGTACAGTATGGTACCAACATCTTAGGACTGATTTGAGGCAGTGATCATGGTACATACAAACAATCCAACCAAGAAACTAAATAAAACTATGTGTAAGAATGTAGTTACTGTTTCCTCCTTTCTGACATAAGAGACTGCCTTGCCTCACACATGCTTACACAAGCTGCGTAAGATGTTCCCAACATTTGTGACCTTTTCATGGAATAAGTTAGGCATCCATTAATTAAATAATTCAGGATGTAATGTAATCAAGAGATTAAATTCACATCTGGTTTTTCACTGGGATAAGTTGTAAATCATGTGCCCTGTTTTGGCTTCTTAGAATAGACTGTAACTGTGCAAGCAGGGACATCTTACTGGTTTTGGCATTGTTCACCCTCAGAGAGTCCCTTGAGCAGCTAGAGTGCTAAATAAACAATGACAAATCTGATTGTACATTATGTACAGCATATGTGTTACTCCCTGCCATTGAGATTCTGGACCCCATCACAGAATTCTATCTAGACAGACAGACTTGCTTACATTTAAATATACCCTTTAAGATCTGCTACATTAGACCAGAATGTACCACTAAGCTGGTCTAGTGTCCCAATTCTGACAGTAGCCATAAATGGCTATTTAGGTTGAATATAAAAATAGAACATATAGAAAGCAATCTTTTCTAGGGGTATGTTTTTCCAGATTCTCATAAGCAAAGGTTACGATGGCTATACTTACACTGAAAGAAACATCTGACTATTAAATAGCTACATATAGTTTAACACTCTCTTAGTGTATCCACAAAAGTATTTTTTGAATTCTTTTAAAACTTCTGCCTTCCACAATGTATGGTATTTCTCAATTTAACAATGAATGTTTTGGAAAAAAACCCAAACTTCCTTGTTTGTTTTTTACAAGCTGCTTGCTAATGTCATTGTGTCTCTATTAGTTCTTCAGTTATGAAAAACATTGAATCCTCCATTTACCTTCTCTTTACTTGTTTAGGGAATTTACAAACTTCAAAGTATCACCCTCAAAGCTTCTTCTTTTCCAAGATGAAAAGTTTTAAATTGTTCAGTCAATGCACATATTTTAAAAAATAACTTTGATAAACCTCAGTGTCCTTTACTGTACTTTTCTTGGTTTTTTAAGATGGGAGGCTAAAGCTGCGTTCAGCTGCAAGTACGCTGAAGCAAGGATATTTTCTGGTTTGTTCACAATTCTTTCCTCGTCCTTTCTAACATTTTCTTTGTCTTTTTGGTCACCACTGCTATATATCAGAAAAGCTTCCACTTAAAAAATCATCTCTGTGTATGGCAGGAAAATATGCTGCTTCCTTCTTTCATTATTCATGTTGCTGTGTTTTTACTACTAACAGTAAAAACATGAAGGAAAGGTGTAGAGTAGGTACAGGTGATGTGAAATTAAAAAAATGTGTGTCTCATGATGGCATTAAATGTTTGGTGTGATTCTAGGAAATAGGTTTTGTTTCTGTGTAAACCCATCCAAGACATGTCATTAAGGAACAAAAGCTGTAGAGATATAATCCCACAATCATAAGGAAAGTAAAGGTTGTTATGAAACACCACATTAATTCCAATAAAAGTATTTTGACAGGTCTGAGGTTTGAACAGTTGCACCTTCTGGGACAGCAGATGAACCTCACTGTAAATTCCACTGCAAGCACTCATGCATAACTTGGCAGGTCCTGTTTATCACAGCTAGTTCACCTTCTGTCACCACGTTTAAGACTGCTAAATGCCTTCTACATCAAAATCCAGCCACAGAATTGTCTGGAATTAGCAAAACTGGTGAAAAAAAAAGTCTCCATTGTCTTTGTAACTGAACCTGGCAAAACTTCCTAGAACTGTTTGGTTATAAGAAGTTTCAAGAAAGCATTTTTGTAATAATTATCCCATTTGCACTGAATACAAGGCATGCCGACCATTCAGATTTCATTATATGGGAAACATTCTAAGTTCAGCATGAATTGGCCAAATCATGGAACCTGGTGCTCTTCTAGAGTACATATTTTCCCACATCTTTTCCTTCCTCCTTGCCATTTCTGATTTTCTTCATCATATTCATTCAAACTTGTCATACTTGATTCTACCCAAGTTTGTAAGTTTAATTCCTGATTCATTTGTATACCAATGGTGCTTATACTGCTTATTAGGGTATTCCAGTTTCTAGTTTTGTCTTTCTTCTAGATACTAATGAAGGTATTTTTTTTGCTTACATAAATTAATATTACATTGTTAGTTTAGATTACAAAAGTACACATACAGTTCCTTCTTCTGCCAGAAAAGAGATTGACTGGTCCATTCCTCCACCTTCTGTGCCAATATAACGTTCGCTCTTGGTGCAAATTTCTGCGAGTTCCACCTGGAAAAATGTGAACCTTCAGCCACAGTTAGGGATGATACTTTTATTCTGTTTACATTTTAATTAGTGAGAAAACAAAGGAAACAATGTCAGAGTTCTGAAACTATTATCTCTTACAAGTCAAAGAACATAAGCTGCTATCAATCATGATGCCACATGGCCCCTTTTCCCTTTTGTTCTGAAGCAAAAAAGAACCAACTACTCAGCCTCCAGAGGACCCACCAAATGCTTTTCAGAGTATCCTTGTTTAGACACTTAACTCTTGAGCTGTCTTCCTCCCACCTTCCTTGTGCACTTCAAATCCTTCCATCCCACTAGCCAATGTTTTGTTGATTTAATTAGATTAATTAATCCACATGTGAATCTCAGCAAAAAAATTCAAGTTATTACTCCATATTATTTTAATGTACTGACTCCATAATCAGAAATTACTCCAAAACTGTTTCTCACTGCAGATATTTAAGTCAGTGATGCTTGTTGTGTGTCCTTGAGATACTGTACTCTGCTTATCTGAACTAATTTGTAACTATATGTGATATGCATTCCTTTGTGACATTTTAGGCATATCTTTGTGCATTCTAATACCTGCAGGTCAGAGGATAATATGGGAGGGTGGAATATCAATGTCATAACTGTCAAAAATAATAATTAACAGTAAAGCTTTCAGCTATCAGGCTAAGTCAAAACAAAAAGAAGAGAAGCCTTGGAAAATGGTCAAAGAACACAGAGTAGTCACAAAGAAGTGGGTTAAAAGGAAAGCATTTGTGTTCACCTATTATGACTTCTACCAGTTTGTTTTTCTAAGCACAAGGTAACCACAAGCAAGATGGGAAAAGAACTTTAGAAAAGCCACAGGCCGTTTTGCAGTGGCAAAGTCAGATTCAGATTCCACAGTAAGGATGTAGCATTACAGGACTGAAAAAAGCTAAGCAGCAAGACAGGGACACTAGCCAGCACACAGCTGTAAAAGGCAGCAGATAGAGGCAGTAAATCAGGACGCTGAGAGAGGTATGTGCAAGGGTGCCTGCTTGCTTGCTCGCTCAAGTCCTCTAATGGCCCCACTGACACAGCTGTAAAATTGGTGCTTAGATGAATGTAATCAGGCTGAACAGTTTGCAAGTGCACTAACAACCAATTTACTCAGCCCACAATGCAGTTATGGCCAATAAGCCTTAGGCTGATAAGTAGAAATTATCAAAAAAACATTAACAAAGTTACTCCAAAACTATGCAGAGTGGATCTCTTTGAATCAAACATGGTAAACGATCTCTCACAAGAAAAAGACCATTAACAAGAGCACATTGAAAGCACAATCATAAAAATATTCTCTTTTTTGGCACTGCCTTTCCTTTGTGTATTTTAAAGGTGAGTTGAAACAATGTTTATTTTATTTTTCTTGAGAACTATAGAAACTTCATGCCTTATGGTGCTCTTTCTTTTTAACAAAAACCATTTCCCAGGTTCATGAAAATTCATTTTTCCTCCCTCTCCCATGTTCACTCATGTCCCATTCCCAGTTTGAACCTCAGATCTCTTCATCCCATCAATGAAAGTTTAACATCTAGTTACCATATCTCCATGCTCCACTATGAGCTGAAAATAATTCTGAATGAAATGTTAATCAAGGCAATGATGCTTTTTCCCATTTAATGCTAAAATACTCAGCAATAGCTCTATAGAAAATAACCAGCCTCCACACACAAATCTCTAGATCCTCACTCCTTTCTACATATGAAGGTGTGCCTATATACAAATAACTGTTGCTGTGACGTGGGAATACCTGCATGTTTCAGCCAGTTCTGCTGAATCCGCCTTTTGTCTCTCTGAGAACACAGCAATACCACATCCCTAATTTTTGTTGCCACTGGCAGGAACTTTCAGACTGGAGCTTATGAGTATTACTCACTGTGTGAGAAGACCACGCTGGCAGACAAGCCATGCATACTCAAGTAAGTAGGAGCTGTGTCTGTGCAAACCTGGCCTGAAGTACAGCTCCTGAGGTACTCACAACATATATTCTGCTCTTGGGCACAGCTGCCTGAGCTATTACTTCATCTGCAACTGCCAGATAAAGCTTGGCAAAGTCAGAAATTAGGCATTTCACTCTTAACTTAGTCTGGCAGCATCTCTATCTCCACATACACATCAACTACCACTTGATTGCCTAAATTGTTTAGACTTTATGAGCCTAGGCTTATTAAATGTGTATCAGGAGAAGTCTTGCAGAGGAGGAATGTTAACAATTAGGCCAGTGCCACTCCCCTGTCCCTTTACAAGGTCTGGTGAACTGTGCCTGGTTGAGCGCCGGCCTCGCTGGGTCGCGGCTCTCCAGCTGTCCAGCTGCATATGCCGGGCAAGCAGCACTGCTCCAGCTTGAGCAACTTCTGTTTTGAAACTTAGCAAGGATTGGCAGGACCACCAAGTAGTAACTGGCAAGGGTTGCAAAGAACCCTCTCCACAAGACAGCCCAAGGCATCCCTGAAATATTATTTGGTTTCTAATTTAAACGGGCCCTTGCTGACACAGGCTGACTTTAATACTAGGATGAGAAGCATGTGAATGGAGAGGAAATTGTCATCTGTATGGAGAGCAGTTTCTACTTACTATTGAGACAAATGGGCAAATGTTTGCCTTTTTGCTAAAATGAGTGAAAGGGCAAAGTTTCATTGGAAACTAATGTGAAGACTAAACTGGAGAGCCTTGTGTACATATTTGATACTTGGAAAAGGATGGTCATATGACTGAAACAGTGAACTAAATTTCAGGAGGTCTGGGCTCAATTTCTAGCTCCACATTAAGTTTCTTGTGAGTCAGGGAAAGTCTCTTTTAATTCATCACGGCTCCATTTCCTCAGTAAAATGAGGAGTATCTTCCTCCTCTTTCTAATTAGTAATTGCTACTTGGGATTCTTGCATGATAATGCTATAAATATGTGTGACTTCATTACTAGAAAGTGAAAAAATCCCCATTTAACTACACCAGTTCTTAAGAGTTTAGGCTTCCATGGAAAATCTCTCTAAGGAAAAAAGTCTGTGAGAGCCATGTAATAAAAGGAAATAGCTTTTGCCTATCTTAGAGCAATGCTTGTTTCCATTCAACTTGCAACACCCAGAAGCTCTTTAGGGCAGGGGCTGTTTAGATCATCTGCTATTTATATCTTTTCAGTGTATATCTGATCTGTAAAAATACAGAGCTTCTCAGATCCCAGATTTCACTGCACAACTTGGCAACATCTCAAATGTCTGCCTGTACAACACCTGGGCACAGAACTTCCTTCTGGATGCACTGCAGTTCCTGCAGAGAAGTAACTCAGAGCATTCTCACAGTCACCTTTAGGGGAACTGCACCCAGGCTGCACCACAGCATCACCTGTCAGGCTGGTAGGTTAGAGGCGGCCTGACACTCCTTGGTAGACTTCCAGATAGAATTGTTATGTGCATAAAAGAAACAGTGTTAGCTTATTGAGTTCTGCACCAGTCCTAGAACAGGCTTTCTCACTGAACTCAGTGAAGGCAGGTATTTGTTCCTCATAAGGCACCATGAGAAATACAGAGAACGAATAAACCCCATCTACACAGAGACTCCACTTGCATCCCACACATTCTGATTCATATGACAGACCACTTTGAGCTAGCCACAAAACATAGTTTGTTCTATGCACTCAAGGTTCATTTAGCATGTTTTTCCATACCTAAAACAGTATTTCAAAAATACTAGTAAATCACAATTTAAATTTTCATAGAATTTTACACAGTTTACTTTAAAAGCATTCCTATAAGGCTGCTTTTATATTCAACTTAGAGACAGCATAGATATTTACAAGATTTGTTCAAAGTCATGTGAATCAGTCACAAAGCTAAAATGAGGATTAAAAAACCTCCCTATTTCCAACATTGTGGTATATTCTGTAAGGAATATAGTCTCATAGAAACAGTTACAGGGTAGATTTAAAATCTTATTAACATGATGGTAATGAGAAGTGAACAGAGAGATACTAAAATCACAGTTAAAATGGGTCTGAATAGTAACATTATGAATCTGCAAAAAAAATACTTAGATAAATTAAAAATTTCCTTAGCTCACGTGTTGTGAGGTCTACATATGTTACTGCCCTCTGAATTTTTGTATTATTGTTTCAGGAAGTTGTTCCAACAGGACTAACTAGACCAGGTAAACTGTACCATGCAGACAGTAAGTCCTAATCTACACTATTAAACAAACAAAATGATATATTAAAATAGTAATTCAGAAAGCTCAAACATCAGGAGATGTTTCCTTTGATCTCATCCCCCTGCAAAAAAAAACCCAAAGAACCCAACAACCTAGCCAAGAAGGGAAGTGCATATAATCACAGAGTATCCTGATGTGGAAGAAACCCCCCAAGGATCTTCAAGTCCCTCTCCTGGCCCTGCCCAGGACAAGCCCCAGAATCCCATCATGTGCCTGAGCATGTGGCCATAAGTAAGTAAGGGCCTGTCAGCTAGATAAAATTAATTAAAAGGCTTGAGTCAGAATAAAAATACAGACTATATGTAGATAAAAGCAACCTCTGGATCAAACCAATACCACTTCTAGTCCTGTTTCTTGTAACTGAAAGTGGGCTCTTAGTATGGACCAAAGACCAAGTAAAGATCTTATTTCCCCAGGACTTTATATTTTGATCGGGAGTTCCATAGGCTGAATGTCAGTTCTTCACCCTTAGGTACCAATAATAGATTTCTTACATGTGAATTTATCCAGACTCCCTTTTAACTCATGCATAACTTTAATATGTAGATCATCCAGGAACAAAGACCTCTACACCTTGTCAGGTGAAGAACTGTCTCCAATTGTTAATCATTAATGGGTACCTGATTAGCTTTATTTCATACCTGCTGGCTCTAAACACTTGAGGGAGTAACAAACAATGATTCCCACCCACTCCATCAATTACATTCATCATTTGATGGATCTCTGACCCTTCCTCCTTTAAGTGTTTTTTTCCAGAGTTCTAACATGCT